TCTCTCTCTCTCTCTCTCTCTCTCTCCCTTCCTGAATCTGCATTCAATGGGTGCCGGTGGATGTTATAAAGAGTTGCTTTCTTGGGTTTTTACAGAGAGCTTCTAGATGATACAGATTCAAGGGTGGCTTATTACTCTTCAGCCTTTCTTTTGAAGGCAAGGATATCCCTTTTGTTAATGATTTAAAATTTCTTCAGAATGCGAAGTATATTTGTATGAAATTTCAAATTTCTTTTTCTGTTTGTTAATTATTACAAATTTTTTGGTATTCAGCGTATGATGACAGAGAAACCTGAAAAGTACCAATACATGCTTCAGAGTCTTGTAATTAAAGCTCAGCAGGTGATGTTTTCGCATTTTTTGTCAATTACAGATTCTGATTTGATAAATGCATCTGCAGACAATTCGTTAATATATTTGCATTAGTCAATCACATCATCTCTACTATTCTGACTGGGCATAAACAAAGTTTTGTTTGATTTACCAAATGATTTATGGGAGATGGAGAAGAAAGAATTGGGGTTTTACACTAGACATGCCCTTTAGTTATCCTTTTTTTTTAATGGATTTGTTACATCTTGGAGATTGTAGGTTTCATATATAATTTTCAGCTAGTTTTTGCTCGCATTTCATCTACTTTCTGTTTAGTAGATACTTCGATTATGCTGCTGGCTTAATCTCTTTGTATGTGTTTTTTTCATTTTAAAGTAGAAGCATGACTTGTATTACAATAGAAAGAGCATATAAGAAAAGGGAGGGAAAGTAGAAACCCAACTGTCACTCTCACAATTTGGGAGATTACTAAATGCTCTCCAGTCAGCCACATGAAGAGGGGGTTGGGGATTTGGGGTTCTCTCTGGTAGTGAAAGTCCCCAGAAAGAGGAAAAAAAAGGGATAAAATTATTTTAAAAAAAAGAAGAAGAAGAAGAAGAAGATTATATCCTTGCTTGCTTTCACATCTCTTTTTCTTTTGTTTATAACATTAACTTGTTTATAAAGAATATATATAATTAGAATCTAGATAATAAATTAAATCTACATCACATATCATAAAGTCCATTTCCACTTACTTAACATAGTCATTGGCTTCTAAGATTTTATATTCCAGTTGACGCATGCCAAATGTCCCCTCAAGTCTCATAATATTGCTGAAATTGCATTTAGCCAAGATAATCTCTTCATTTGATATCTAAGCTCGAATTGCTAACATGCTTGTTTTCTGCTCTCGCCATGCAGAGCAATAATGAGAAGCTGTTGGAAAATCCATACCTTCAGATGCGTGGTATACTTAAGCTGGCAAATGATATGGGCATTGAATTGTGATTAAATTTCATTTTCTGGAATCATTCTCTTCTTGACATGGATACATTTCATTCTGCGGGGTGCTTGGAAAAGTACTGATACCCATGGTGTTCAATCACTCACTTTATTTTCCATGTTTGGAACATATGAAGAAATGTGCCGAAGTGTACATGACAGAGCTCGTCTACTCATGAGGGAACTTAATTTAGATCAAGCTAGGAGACTGACCATCCGTTGAGAAAGGCAATAGCGATACAACGAGATGATCTTGTTCATTAGATTATTCCGGTTTTTGTCTTGCCGCTGTACAGTTGGTTCTTTTAAATCAGCCATCAACTCTGTGATTTTTCTTTGCCAAGCACGCACAAGGATGGTGAGCTAATTTGATGACTCGGCCTGCAGATTAACTGTTGTAGAGATCCCACCTCGGCTATGCCAATTAACTTTTCTTGCCAAGTATACGTCGAGGACAGGGCAACTAAGGCATTCGGGAAAACCTTTTAGATTACTCCATCGGTTGATTTGTTTGCCTCATTATGCCACAGGTCACTGGAGATGGAAGTTTTGATATTTACATCAGGTACTACCTACAACCTTTTTCAATTTAAATACCATCTCTATGTGTTGGATTTTCTCATATTGTAAATATTCGTTAGTAAATATTAGTTGCCAATACATGATCTTTAATATCTTTATTTTTCCTTATTTTGTAACTGAGTTTTTCTCCCTATTTCTAATGAGGTGACACATATGAAAGAATATTATTATTCTGTCAAATTTAAAATGGTATTAGAACGGTATTAGGGTAAGAGATTTTGAGTTCGAACTTCTATAATTTTTTTTTCCGCCACAATTAATATTGATAATATTTGTTTGGTCTTATGCTAATTTTCAAGTTCACGGGTGAGAAGGAATGTTAGAATATAAAAAATAATTAAATTCACCGTAACTTATCAGCTTAAGCTTTTGGATTCAATTATTTGAAACTATGCTTCTCTTATTTGCTTTCTTTTTCCAAATGAATACTATAAGAAATCTATCACATTATAGACTCATATACGTTGATTGAATCTGATACTTCTTTTTCCAGTTGTTGCACTGATACATCTTCTTTTTGGTGGAAACAGCTGTATGTTGTGTATAATGTTTTTCGGACGACTTGCAAGTGAAACTTGAGAAGATTCATTTCATTTGTACAGAACCACATTACCCTCCAACAAAGCCTTCTTCTGTTTTTGTCATTCCTGAAGGCAATCTTTAACCATGTTTCTCCTTTTTTTCATCTTTTTTCCTGGAATCTTCTTTGTTATTCCAAGTCTGTAAAGTCAGCTTTGAGTGATGGAGAAAATATCAGTTCTTCAAAATGGTATCCTCCACATGGCTCACAAGTCTCATTTTTCCAGAGCATTGCTTGCAGGTGTCCAATATTTTTAGGACATTAAACTGCCTGCTTTCCTGGTATGGGTTTTTCTGGAAGCTATCTTCGTGATAACAGTAATCTTTTTGTGCTCATCTTTTACACAGGCATGGTTCTTTTGGTGATCTGAAATCTCCATTTTGTTTTGTTGTCTTTATATCTGAAACTCTAGTGTTGTGTGGCTGCTGAAAATCTTACCTTATAATTTTCCTTTTGTTTGTGTAGAGAAGAAGATGATAATTTTGTTTTTAGTAGATACTCTATTGCCATGCTGATGTAGTTTAGGTCGGATTTATGAATCAAGAAATGGAAGAATTCAGGTGATCATTTTGCTTAAAATCATTTAATAACCCTTTTCCATTTTAGTTTTCTATTTTCTAGAAATTAAGTTTGTTTTTACCTCTAATGGGCTGTCCAAATGGCAATGGTTTGAGATCTCTTGGTTATACTAACTTAAAGATTTTATATTCGAACCTTTTGGTGAGTTTAATATCAAAAAAAAAATTTTACGTCTCCCGAGTCTCGATTTGGAGGTGGGCGGGGGTCTCCCTTTGTATAGGGGAGTAAAGTTTCGACTTCCAGTTACCTAAAAAATTATGCTTGTTTTTGTATAATTTTTATTGGTAAGTTTTTCACCTCTATTGAAAACATATTTGAAATCTGAGTTAAATTTTACTCCTTTTGATTTTTAAAATTCGGACTAAATTTTGAAAATGTTTATAAAAACTAAATAACAAAAACGAGTGAAAGTAGGGTTTCTGAACTTGACTGACTTTTTTTAAGAGATTTGTTTGTATTCTTAAATCTGTCAGAAATTTTGACTGGGTAACGTCAATACAGATTTAAAAGGAAATGAGTTAGCTTTAAAAAATATATTTATTTTTGTTTTTATGGTGACAAACAATTAATTTAAATATAGAACAAGTATTTTAGAGAAACATAAGAAGTTAAAAAGAATAATATTACATTTTTAGTATTTTTAATGCGAAATTACATCCATTTTGAAGCAAAATGAAGAGGAATTTGTTCTTTTATGTGCAAATACTTTCCTTCAAAGTTAGAAAATTTATATGTAACATTTCTTTATGCTATGGTTTTTGTAACTCAGAGCTTTGCAGAGGTATTTTGAAAATTGATATTCCATTATACCATAAAAAGTTAATAGAGAAAACATGTACATAATACAAGACTATCATGTGAACATTATCGAAATAATTAAGTATTTTGAAAATCTTTCCCATATAAGTATATTTTTAATAAGCGGAAAATAAAATGTTCTAAACTAGGTTCTAGTCTCGAGATTTTACATAAAAACTAGTTTAACTTATACTGTTAATTTTTCATTTAAGATATTAATAGGTATCAAATTCATTTGGAAACTTGACATCTAACCTACATTGTGGTTTAAAGACTTGTTTATGTAAATACCCATTCATTAAACAAACAAACAAACAACATCAAATTTAGCTTTTGACAAATAATTTCCCAAAAATTAATAATAACGATTATAATTAATTTTTCATGCATAGGTCTGGGTACTAAAATTGAATAATTCAAACTTTAATACAGAATATGAAATAATTAAAAGAAATTAAGAGTATTTTAAACCCTGAAAAAATAAATTCATAATTTGACTTCGTTTTGTGTATGGAGATGTAAAAAAAAAGTACACAAATTGGGAAGTTTTCTATGGGCTTATGGGTAAATTCATATTTTAAGCGATGGAAGTGCTCATATTTTGTCTGTTTCTTCTTTGCGCTTTAGTGTAGTAATGACCAAATTAAAAATAATTAATTAAATAAAAAAAAACTTCTAAACTTTGCCCTTATTTTGATGATGTCCTCATTCTTTCCAAAACTTGAATACTACTATTCATGTTTATAAAGATTTCAAAAATATATTTTTAACATTACGATTTAAGTAGATTTCTACGTTAATTATTACGTTGTTGTTACATATTCTATTACATAAACTTTTTGTTCAAAAAACAAAAAGATATTTGTTCTATTTCTAAATTGTTTATGATAGGTGATCCGATGATAGAAGTATTTTTTATTAAATTCTAAAAAAAATTTATTAATTAAATGATCATTGATATATATATCCAACAAGGAGTTGCGAAGACTAAAAATGTTATACTTAAACAAAAGTTTTTTTTTTTTTTTAATTTAGCCTAAAGAAAAGATAAAAGGAGTAAGTATCAAGTGAAGGCGAGTGTAGGATTAGAAAGAGTGAGTTCATTTTCGTAAAAGAAAGCGCTCGCGTATACATGCGTCTTCGAACGGTCCCAATCGGCCAATCCCCGCGCGAAATCATAGTATCAGTTTTGATCTCTCTCTTCTCTCTCTCTCTCTCTCTCTCTCTCTCTCTCTCTCTCTCTCCGCTCCATGTCGCCGACGACTTCCTGAGCTTCGTTAAGGTCATCCATCTCTGCTCTCTCTCGTCGTCTCTTTGTCTGATCTTTTGACGGAGGTATCGTTTAATTTTGTAGAAGAACTCATTTTTCTGTTCTGGGTCCAGAAGGGAATCAAATTTCGTTAAACAATACTGGAAACCGATGGCTGCACCACCGGCAAGGGCTCGTGCTGATTACGATTACCTCATTAAGCTTTTGCTTATTGGCGATAGCGGTATATATGTGCCCTACCCTACCCTACCCTCGTTTTTTTTTTAGTTTTTAATTTGAAATGGGAATGGGAATGGGAATGTAAGTTGCTGTTGGAGATCTGATGAATGGGTTGTGTGTAGTGTGGCACGGAATTTGTTTACATCAATGTGATTTCGGTTCTTCTTGTTTCGGTGGGAGTTAATTTATTGCATGTTCTCGGTTTTTGTTTGGACCTTTTGATTTGGAAATGGTCGATTCTTGTCGATCTCTCCCCCTATCCAGGATTTTTTTTTGGGTTCAAATTTGTGGTTCTGTTTGCAACATCGTCGTGTACCTGTTAAGAGGGGCCGTGATCTTTTGACGTTCAATGTGGGTGGGATTATCCTTAGAGAACTAGAAATTTTTCTGTTCTCTCTATTTATTTTTCAATATGAGGAGGGTGGTTGTTGGGATCGCCCTTCGAAAACCATACTGTTTTTTTTATTTAAATCTTAAAGTATTGCGCATGATAGTTGAGTTTTATGCAAAAATCGTGGTTATTTTTCATGGTAATAGACTGATATTTTTCGTTAGTGCCTCTGCCTCTCCATATGTTTAGTTTGAAGCATTGTATATGCAATATGTTACTCTCACTGCCTCTTGCTGAGTTAAGTGCTTTATTTGTTTAGAGCTAGTAGACCTCTAGAAAAGTCAAGTTTATCTTCTATTCAAGAATAGCAAGTTTAATTATACGAGTCCCATGGAAATTGTGCGATAGATTTATGAGCCCATCACTTTGGCATACTAGTAGTCTTCACGTAAGCCATTTCCGTTCAATTTTTTTGCAGGTGTGGGAAAGAGTTGTCTGCTTCTGCGTTTTTCTGATGGTTCTTTCACAACCAGTTTTATCACCACAATTGGGTTTGTAATCTGTGTACCCTTGAAGCTTGCCCATTAAACGTTTTAGCGTTGTATAAATTTGAATACATTCAAAAGGTGTAGTAAGGGTCATAGGCTCATAGGTGGGACTATTAGCTGAAAATAAGGTACAGGAGTGTTTGGAACGATTATAGTTTATCAGATAGCTGGTTTGACATTTTCATGTACTGGTAATCATTTGTATGGTATTGATTGATATGCGTAACAGCGTAAGAAATTCCATATGTTATCTAAGAACTTATAGTTTGGAAGCTATATACAAGTGCGTTTCTTTAATATCAGCCATATACATCTTATGGCAGTATTGATTTTAAGATAAGAACCATTGATCTTGATGGGAAGAGAATTAAGTTGCAAATTTGGGATACGGCTGGCCAGGAGCGTTTTCGGACTATCACAACAGGTTTGTATCTGATATTTGATATTATTTCTCCTAGATATTGTAATTGGACAGATGCCTCCTCTGTGAAAGTGAATTTTGTATTATTTGAATGTAGAGAGGAAATCAGGGATAATTTTACCCTTCTTACATGTAATTGGTGGTGTCTCTCCAAAGTTCTCTGTAACCATTCATGCTTTTTTATTTTACGCTGTTGGAAAAAGTTTTGGAATAAATCTTGAAGCTGGAAGCTCAAAATTTTTTAAAAATAATTTGATTCATTTAGGTATGTTCACTTATTTTGATGTTTATTTTGACATCAAACATTTCAAGTTTTTCAATTTAGTAAAGAAAGGGATTATTCCTGTTAGTATCAAGGTCCACGTGCTTCTAAGTTTTGTTACGAGATATGGAAAGAGAAGTGTTAGTGAGTAACTCGCTTCTACAACTCCCTGAAACCAATTTTTGTTACAAGTTTAGTGAAGTGAAAACTTTATTCTGTCTATAACTTTGATGATTATCGTCCTGTAGCTTACTATCGTGGAGCCATGGGTATTTTGCTGGTGTATGATGTCACTGACGAGTCATCTTTCAACAGTGAGTTATTTTATTGTCTATTTATAATGTATTTGATCTGCAATTGCTCTGCTCATCTGTTTACATAATAAATCTTTGACCTTGATGGATTCATGGTTCATTCTGTCTATTCAAGTTCATATTTGTCTAACTTGTCAAATTTGTTTATATAACCATCAATTTTCGGTTAGGGGTACAAGTGGGTCGGTTATTTGTCAAAACTTATACCAATTTAACCTATTAGTTTAATAAAACTGAAAATTTTGATGCAGAAACTTACCTTTTGGACTAAAATGGCCAATCACCAAACTGACCAAAATTGGACTGAACCAACCGTTTAATTTTTAGTTATATTTATGTATCAAACTGAACTGATTGAGACAATACCAACTCAGTTTTTGTTGGGGTATTTTTGGGTTATTGAACTTGCACCCCTAGCTTCGGTCCCTCATCACTTCTACAGCTATCTTATTTGCATCTATTATAAAGTTTACTCTTTTCTTACTCAGACATTAGGAATTGGATTCGCAATATTGAACAGCATGCATCTGATAATGTGAACAAGATACTAGTAGGAAACAAGGCTGATATGGATGAAAGTAAAAGGGTAAGCATTTTTTATGGCTCAACTTCTCTCGACCTTTGTTTTTCTTAGTGCTCGGCACCGAATAATTACAAGTTCAAGAAGCTAAATGTAACTTCACTTTGAAGCTTATACTCAGTTTTAAAATATCAGTTGATGTTATCTTTTGTTTACCTTGTATCTCTCTTTTTGTTTTGTCACAGGCTGTGCCTACTTCAAAAGGTCAAGCTCTTGCTGATGAGTATAATATCAAATTCTTCGAAACCGTAAGTCTGAAATGCCTCAAGATCGCTTATAATTAGAATCCTTTTAGTATTTATTTATTGGTGCTTCTTAGTACTTGCATTCAAAGAATATTTCCTGCAGAGTGCCAAGACAAACCTGAATGTAGAGGAGGTTTTCTTTTCCATTGCCAGGGACATTAAGCAAAGGCTTGCAGACACAGATTCAAAGGCGGAGGTATTTGCTGTTTGTTTCTATTTCTGAATTACTTTGAATTTCCATTTGTTATCACTAAATAAATCCATAATGTGGATGGGATCTCTGTGTAATCCAGCCTCAAACAATCAAGATAAACAAGCCAGATGGAGCAGCCGGTGATGGTCAAGCAGCCCAAAAGTCAGCTTGCTGTGGCTCCTAATATGGTACTAGGAAATTGAACCAATTGAAAGAGCGATAACGCTCTTCATACCGTGGTGGTGGTGCCTCCCGGGAACGAAACCAAATCTGGTTAGATTGTGGTGGGCTAGTTCATCTATCATCCCGATTGTCGCTTCTGTGAATCATCATCATCATCAGTCTGTGTGTTGAATGTTCTTTTTTGTTCCTCTATTTTGGCAAAAGACAGTCTGATCTTTCCCTTTTTCTTCTTATTTTTATATATTGGAGGTTGGGATTTAGGACTGGTTCAATTATTTTACATGTGTTGGTTTGGTGTAGATAGATAATCAGGATTTTTAAAGCTTCTTCTTCCTTTACTATGAAAAGGAAGAATGATGGTCTCTGCTCTGCTGCATCACTTGCTCTGTAATCCGGATTATAAGACCCTTTTAACACTCTACTCTAATTGCAATTATTGATATTTTGTTAACTCTTGGAATGGAACGATGTTGATTCGTAAGTTCTTGCAATTCATTTTCTTTCGAGTTCAACATGTGGGGGATTCAAACCTTCAACTTTTTTATCAATAATATATGCTTTAATCAGTTGAGTTATGTACCTGTTTTTTAGTACAACAATTTGGGGATATGGGGATCGAACTTTCGATCTCGAAAGAAGTATATGTCAATTATCGTTGAGTTATGTTCATGTTAGCTGTTGAGCTATGCATTACTCGGGTAATTTGCATTTTTGTTATACTGTTTGCTATAAAACACGGACACGGCAAAAAAGGAGTGTCTGTGTCGGACACGGATATGTCCGGACACGCTCCGGACACGTGTCCGACACGCAATTTAAAGTGTCCGAATATTAAATTTTTTAWTTTAATTTCAGACACGTGGGGACACGTTTTGGACACGGGAGGGACACGCCAGATAAAAAAATATTGTTTCCTTAGCCCAATTTTTGGAAGTCCAAGAAGTTTGGCTGAAATCTCAAAAACTTAAACTACAAAAAAAAAAACCCTAAAATGCTACCTAGTGACCCACCCTTCTGTTTGTGTGAGTTAAATAAAATAAGCTCTATTCTTACTTCCTCTTTTTCCTAATTATGACAACTTCGATCCAATAATTAAATTCAAATCCTTTTCTAGGATTTTTTTAGTGGATTACATTTACTATTTTTATGCTTTTTAGTGGGTACATCTTTAACCCAATAAATTTACTTGACATTTATGTTTTTTAGTGAAGTATATTTAGCATTTTTATGTTAAATTTACCTATATCCTAAAAAAAATAATAAATAAATAACGTATCACCAACGTGTCCGTGTCCTAATTTTTTAGAAGTTGACGTATCGCCGTGTCCTGTCCGTGTCCGTGCTTCTCAGACTGTTTGGAAGTATAGTTTGAAAATTAATGAGAACTACCATTAGGATTTTCCAATTATATTTTGGAAGTTAAAAGCTTAAGATATTGACATGTATATGTTTTCTTTGTTTAGCTTTACTTTTAAAAATATTTTTGAAATCTTGGTCAATTTTTGAAACAAATTGTAGATTTTTGAAATTTTGCCTATGACTTCAAAAGTAAATTAAGATTAAAAAAATAAGAAAAAAAGAGTTGATGAATTAGAATAAAGTTTATGAACGGAAGATGAAGTAAAAATGTTATGAAATAAGCTTTAGTTCTAGTAAGGTATGTTTATGAAAAAACTTATTTTGATTTCAAGTTATATATAAATAATAAAAGATAATAAAGAAGCAAGTGATTTAAATTTTTTTTTATAAATTTAGAGCAAGTATATATAATATATCTAAGGAAAATTTAAAGACGGGTATTAAAATATGACTATTGATTAGAACAGGGCATAAAAGAATTAATATGAAAGTTGAATTTAAATCTGGTTTACAGGTATGAATATGATATATTTAAATATAAGATCAAATACAAAAATTGGTTCTCAATGTTTATGATATTTTTCAATTTTTGTCTTTGTTTCTTGTAAAGAAAAAACCAATTCTTAATGTACTAATTTATTTTTTAAAATACTCAAACATTTGTAAGAACCAAGTGGTTAGAAAAACATAGATCCAATTTTCAAGATATTTATTTTGGTCTCTGCAGTTTTAAAAAATAATAATTTTAGTCCTTTCTTTTTTTTTTTTACTAAAATGTTCACTTCACTCAATAAATTCTTGAAATATAACCATAAATTTACATAGAATAAACTTCATTGTAGGTAAATTTATGTTAAATTTTACAAGTAGGAATCAAATTGGTCACTTTCTAAAAACACTATAACTAAAATGAATGATTTGAAAATATAAATACTAAAATGAACAAAAGCTAAAAACATATAAGCTAAAATGAGGTTTTGAGAGTGTACACGAACCAAATGACCAAAACAATATTTAAACCAACCATAGTCCATAAATGTTACAATGACTAAATTAAAAAATTACAAAGCGTAAAAATGTAATTTAACCTTGTTTTTTCAACAATCCATAAGATAAAATTGTCTCCACACAAGCCAAATGGGTCTTAAACCACACTTGAAAATATGTGAGAATCCAGAGAGTTGTAATATATTGAAACTCAGTCACTAAGCAGCAGAAAAAACCTTACCTTATTTTGGACCATACAAGAAGCATACAAATGAACTAAACCATCCTTGAGTTCAACAATGGCTGTCCAAGCTATTCATAAAATTGCTCAGAAGCACTTAGATTATTCATAGACAAGATAGTAATAATCACTCACTCAAGTCTCAAGACTGGACATTAAATATAGGTTACAATTGTCGCCCCCCTGATCGAAAACGACAAAGTAAATTAGGTTCTTCAAAACAAATTAAACAGTAAGATCAGTGAATGATATATAAGCAAGTCAACATTATCCGAATCTTTATGATCTCTGGAAATAATTGATATACAGGTGAGGAATGCCTTAAAAACATACACTGACACTACTTATTGGCTCACATCCCATCTCCTGGTGATATGTTTTGCGGTTGGCAAAGAAGAGAACTCCATATGAGAACGCTGTCCTGATAGAAACGCATTTTATTTCGAGGCAATGATATGTTGGTTTGATCATCGTGGCTGCTGCAGCAGTTTAATAATCTAATGTTATTGACAAAATGATACAAACCAACAGATAAGCAAATTACTTGGAGAAGACTAATGTGTTGGAGTAGCAATGCCTTGAAAAAGGATTTAACTGGTATAATAACAAGTTCAACTTTGCACATTTTGATGATATTGTAACCAGTTCGAATTTATCTTATTCAGAGTTCACACGCAAAATTCAGTAGCATTTAGACTCGGTTGCACAGTATTTCACAATTTGTCTGCATTTTTATTCTTATTTCCAGTAAAAAAAAGCTTGTAAATTTATCAACCACATCATTAAATACCAACCTTCATAGAGTTCATCTTTTCTAGTTGCTTCAATTCAGCTTGTCCAGTAAGAATTTTACGCCTTCTCGCAACGTCGCCTTCCTGTCCTCTTCGTAGTTCCATAGCTCCGAAATTATATACCTTCCACTGGGATTGTATTCATTTATCTCCTTTAAAGCTGTTGTCACGGCCCTGTACACTTCCTCACCGTAATCCTTTTTCAGATCTTGCAGTTTCTCATCTTCATCATTCAAAATTTCAATTTCCTAAAACAGCATAATGACTAATGGTTAAACATAAACATCAGAAGGGCCTTCAGGTAGGGAAAATTTAGGTAGCTCAAGAACGTCATCAAAGAAGACAGTGCAGAAAGCTAACATAATTGGTGATTTTCTTCTATACAAGTATTGAATCATCCCAGTGAGCCAAAAATCAAAATACAAATACAAGAATTTTTATGAACACATAAATGTACTATATGGGAAGCTTGCATGAGAAAATTTTAAAATATATTACAATGGTAAACATTCTATCTGCGGCTCCAATGTGCAACAATCCTGTAGTAGGACTGTATTCCATACTACCCTGGTTTTCAACCATATCAGATTGAGCCTATATAAGAAAATAATATATCAACTAATCATGTGGCTGAATATAAATGGATGGAGGAGGCACTTTAATAGTACTAAAAACTTTTCCTAGTAAATGTAGAGGTAAAAAATGCAGATATTGCAGTTTGTCTGGTACTAATTATCCAAATCATTGATCCTATTTTTATCATTTTGGCTTATACATTGCACATATGATATTATAATATATAAAACAACTTAAAATTGAAGATGTTAAAAAAAAAAAAAATTTCAAATGAAAATTCCATTCTTTTTAATTTGAACTTTCAGAGATTCAAAATCAAGAAACAGTTTATTTAATAGGACAAGAACCTAATATGATTATACATATATCTCTTTCTTTACGAATTAGAAAGAAAAAAAAACACACACACACAAGATAACAAGGAGCAAATATAGTTACCATGTGCATTTATATCTCTCTTTCTACAAACACGAGACACATACCCAACAGGCCCTCCACTTTCTTTTAATTTTTATACCACTGGGAGATAGGGGATTCTATAATTAATGCAAATGCAATAATAGGAACTAATTAAAAAAAAAAGTTCTCCGGGGAGGGTGACCTCCACCCTCTGCCCTTACTTGTCGGCTTCTTTTGTGACTAATATACTTCCGTTTCTTATTTTAAAAAAAAAACAAAACAAAACAAAACAAAAAAAAAGACTGATAAAATCCAAGATCCCTAGGTATTGTATAGCCTCTGTAACATTACTTCATTATCAAAAGAGCTAGCAAGAGAATCACCTTATCTATTCCTTCAGCAGTATCTTTCCCTTCAACCTTAATCACTTTGAAAGGATGCCAATCTGGGTCCTTGAGATATTCTGCCCACAGCGAGCACAGCTCTGAAGCCCTCTCATCTGCTTCATCCTCATTATATCTTTTCTTCATTGCTTCAAGGAATGGTTTGGTATCCAGTTCACCCATTCTCTTAACACGTAAGTGAGAACAACCGGGCAAGTCTTTGAAAGCCTAAGAAATGATAAAAATTAAACTGCTTCAGGAGTTTAAATCTCTTACCAAGAAGAAATTGTTGAACTTAAGCACAGGATAAAAGTAATTAGTTTGCTGCAGGATTAAAAAATTAATAACACTTTTTCCAGTAGATGCATTGACAAAATGAATCAATTTGCATACAGTCTCTCTCATAAACCAAGACTCTAAATGCACGTGATATAGATCAAAACTTTTAAACACAGCCTCCATACTCGCCAACTGTACAGTAATTTTGTCGTAACTTATAACACATTTTACAAATGGTTTGCAAAGAACAATTGTGGTATTAGTTATTTTATCTTGTAAACATGACTTAAAAAGTACTTTGCAGTAAGAAAATACTCTTACATTAATAATCTCTTTACGGGCTTCTTGGAGCTCGTCGTTACTCTTGCGCTGCTTTACTATCAATGTTTGGTTAAGATCATCAAGAGCTTCAAGTTCCCCTTCCTTTTCACTCAAACTTTTTAATATTGACTCTGCCTTCTGGAGGACTTCCACATCCTCATCATCTCCCATGTGCTTCATAACATTTAGTGTCCCACGTAGACGCTCAATTTCCAACTCTAGTGCTTGCTTGGCATCCAGTTGCTTTTCCAGTCGGATAATTTTATTGTGGAGGTCCTCCTTTTGTATCTGAATCATTAGAAATTACAAATAAGCGGCTCCCTGCTCTCCAATTTTGATAATGAAATAACCTGATGATTAATAAAGCACATGTGCCAACAAACCTTCTGATCTTCTGCCAGCTTCATAAAATCTTCATCAGCCTTCTGTTGCTCTAATGCAGCCAATTGAAGAGAACTATTTCTCACCTCATACTGATAAGAAAAAGGAATATAAGTTGAATAGTCAAGAAC